CACTGCGAATGTGACAGGATGATAATTATCATCTTGTCACCGATTATAATCGGTCAGGCATACGTACAACGCAACAAGTGAGCACTGGTTTACTGTATGCAATTCACTGGATCGAAACAGACTCGTGGCTGAATGGGTAGCTCTAATGCCACGGTCTCCGGTTCGATTTTCGTTTCTTGTATTTTCTTTTTGACTGAGGATTCTAATAGTCTTCCTCGTTTCATGACTGAAATTTTGAAACAGTGAAATAAATTAATTTGCGACCATCTCCTTCCTAATCCTTTACAGTTCACGCTCATAGCCATTCTTCTATTTTCCTCTAGATACGGCATACAAGTAAGAAAGTGTCGCTAATAAGTTAAGAGTAGTTAAATGGGGCAGATTTCATCTGGAGAGTCCCATGGACATTTTAATTCTGACTACAGGGTTATAATAATTATAGTACCTAACTGCATGGAGCGGAATCTGTCTTGAGTAATTAAAAGTCGATTAGTTGGTCAGAATTATTCGGGTTGCATAAGAACCATAGGATTATTATCGTGTTTACATAAGTCCGCCATAGGATCCTGTTCTAAATCAGATAAATTTAGTCTACATTTTTTATAACCTGTTTTACCTAAGATTTATTTTAATATTATACATCTGTGTACTGTCTTGTATGCATATTTCTATGGATCGCTGAAGCATAGACACATGGAATGTGCTAAGTTAGACGCGTCTCGTAAAAAGACTTAAGAGTGTTTTGACTGAGTATATTGAATTATATGTATTCGTCTGTTCGTTCTAGGTGAACCGATTTTTATGAAATTTTATACTCAGCGTCTTTACTAAAGTGTGTAACAATTTCGACAGAATTTTGGGATGTAAGTAGAAAATGTTATTATACTGTAACAGTAGCGTTAAAAATGAAAACATTTTGAGTTATTTCGGCTACATAGCTTCGTACCACGTAATCCGAAACTAGAAACCGGTTGATATGACGTCATCCCCTACTTCCTTCCCAGTGAATTATGGGATTTGACCTTGAAGGAGAATAAGAGATATTTTTGACATTTGTTTTATTTCGTTCCATTAGATACTATGCTACTTACTCAGACGAGAAACAGTTAAAACTTGTTTTTCTTACCACGGTTATGATTAATCAAAAATAAAATTAACTTTATGTCATGAAGTTAAGAAATTTTTTTTGTTATGATACTTTGATAGGCCTGTAAAAATAATTGTTTAATTTTAACCGTCTAATCACAATAAAATATTTTATTAAATATTAAAGTATTAAAATTGTAACTCGAACATTTCGATAGAAAGAGCATCATTTTAATATATTTTAAATATTTTAAATATTAAATGTTAATTGTAGTAATAATATTTTAATATTTAATATGTTATTGTGATTAGACGGTTAAAATTAAACAATTATAATCATCACAATATGACGCAACATTATCATCTCACCTGTAAAAATAATTTAAACTCACAAAACTGTAAGAATTTTAACAATTGAGGATTTTATAGAAATAATGGCGTCGTTCAAAATTTTTTTTTTTTTAGTAAATAAAAAAAAGTTTCTAGCATCTGAACCAGTCGAAATATTTTTGGTATTTTAATTTTGTTATTGCATTTAAATGTCTTGATAATTGGTAATAAAATTACAAGTATGTGTAAAGTTTTTTTTTTTTATTTGAGGAATACATCAGTACAGGCAGACCAAATGTAATTTTTGCTGAAAAGATATTTTGTTGTTACGTGAGCAGGTTTTAACCTGTAAGATTTCAACGTTAACTAAAATGAACCTTTATGAAATAACGTAGTTTCTTCTGGAAATTACTCGGTTTTGAGCAATAGTTGGATGGATTAGTGTACTGCACTGGTAATCGAAATAGGAAGATGTTGCACTGTCTTGAGACGGGGTCTGGTAGACTCTCAGACAGATGCGAATATAACTTAGAAGATTAATTTCAGTGTTGAATTCATAGCGCTATGCGGAATGGTTGGGGTGAAGTGGTGGTGGTTTGAGACATCGGTCCGGTCCACTGAGCCATCGTACTCCTAATGGAAGCCTCGAGTAGCTGAGAGCTGGCTTGCTTGGGTGATGGATTGGCCCTCTCTGACACGACATCAAATTTCCATTAATTTCTGAACACCCTCGCTAATCAGGTTGGAGAAAAGCAACCAAGGTCATGAGTGTGACGAAGCAGGTCCTTTTTTTTATTGAGGACAAAAAGCCGGGTGTTAACATGAGCTTGAAACCCACTATAACCACTTTCTCAGGGGCCTTCGTCTCTGTGGAGGACGCTTATATTCCGGTCCCGTTTCGACTGGAAACATTTTTCTTCAACGCAGTAATCCGAAAAGCAAATAAAATTGTTTCAACGAAGGTATTACATTCATAGCTTCAAGGCGGTAATGTTTTCTACGAAGCTAATGGCGGTAATGTTTCATGATTGATTTATGAGGTACTACACATTTTCTTTTCTTATTTCTTATTTATTTTATTTATATATCAGTCCATCCACCCATACATCTGTCTTCTAAGCTGAACGAATATTAACTTTTCGATAATAACTGTGATCCATTGACTTATAACAATTTTACAGCTAGTATTTTTGATTTAACAGTTCAACACAAGGAGCCCGAAACAACCTTCATCAGGACGTAATATAATTGTAATATAATTTATTCAGTAAGACGATATTTTAACGGGCCACGGTCTTGACTTTCCTGTAAAGTAAATAATAGAATTGTTAAGATGGTAAAGTTGCGTCATATTGTGATATAATAAGTATATATTAAATCTTGTCTGTCTAATCACAATAAATTCTTATTAAATATTAAAATATTACAATAATTAACATTTAAAATATTTAAAATATGAAATGATGTTCTTTATCGAAATATTCGATTTACATTAGACCATCATTTTTCATGTTTCATTTTTCGTGTGAACATCATTTAATATTTTAAATATTTTAAATGTTAATTATTGTAATATTTTAATATTTAATAAGAATTTATTGTGATTAGAGGGACAAGATTTGATATATACTTAATAGAATTGTTTTTTAATCACATTAAACACTTCAGTTGGTACAGTGTCATCAATTACGGACAAATATCATTCCCCTGCTGTATGATTAAATTACCTGTTTTATTTATTCGAAATTCGTTGTTGTTGTTGTTCTTTATGTCAGAAGATCGTTCGATAATAATTACTTTTGCGTCCTACCCAATCCCTGACTGTTACAGAGCCGACCTTCGTTT